TTTAAAACTATTCGAAACTGAAAGTTTCAATAGATGCTATGAACTTCATACAATAATTATCGTAGATCTCATTTTCATAATTCGCCCTAAACCAAGATGAAGTAGCCTATTTTGAACACTTTCTGCATTGAACAACTAAATATCTAGTCAAGAATAGGACGACTGAGTACAGTACACATATTTTGGATGGCAGACATACATATAACTTTCGTCCTAGAGATAGGTTTTTTTACTTAGAACTGATTGCATATTATCATGTGTATTCCTAGGTCGATTTTTTAGCGAAAGCAATTCAGTTTTGAATAGATCTATTTATTCTCCTCTCCTATCATAGTGGATATTCCAGCAACAAAACGTTTGTCACTTGAATTTAATTTTCCTTAAAGGCATGATGTATGGAAACTTGAGTATTGCATCACTTGCAATGGATTACGAGTTTCAAATTAGTGTAACAATTTTTATTCAAAAAACAATTTACAAACAACTCAAATTTTTCTTCCGTTTATTGACTGTTGTGTTCTTGCCTTTATATTCATGTAAAAGGTTATCTGAAATTTGAACAACAAGTCTTTTCTTGAAAAAGTTAGGAATGTAACAATCAGCTGCAAGGATAGAAGTACTGCCTTTAAGATTGTTTAACTATTTCTTGTTAGCAGCTAGTTGATTGCTTCTCTGATTTCGAAGTAGTAGATAAGTTTGTTTTTATTTCTCAGACATTTTAGTTTTATATTTCAAAAAGAAAAAACTAAATCGTAAATTTTATTAAAAAGAAAATAAAAACAAACTACAAATGCCAAATGGCAAGCTAACTTTTATTGCCTACACAGAACAAAAAAGATTCGTCATTGCATTTCACTCATTAGATGTTGACTAATTGGACTTCCATTCTTTTGATAAAAGTCATTCAGTATCATATAGTTAGTCTTAGAGAGATGAAAGCCGATTTACAATCATGCTATTGGTCTTGGCACAGCAGTAAACCTTGAAGATCGCTTATTGTGACGAGAGAAAGTTTATAGTAAACAAAATTTCCATTTTGTGTTTCTTAAATAATCGCATGTTGAATTTAAATAAAAGGTCGTATATTCATCAGGATAACAATAAATAAAACCATGAGACTGGGTCAATTCTCCTACATGACCTAGAGAGTTGTATTGAATATATATATATATATATATATATTGAATTAAGTAGTTTTACTCTGGTATCAATAGAAGATGTGAAAAACTCGAAGAAGCAATTGCTACTTCTGGTAGCGCTGGTGCGCTGCCCATGCAGATTACCCAGAAAATCGTTTTTAAGAAAATATCTTGTGCCCTACATCATCCAATGTAGTTTCGTGCACTGATTCTGAGTATACTATTGATTTTTCATAGAAATGCTTTGGAGTCTTTAAAAAAAAAGAGGTTTAGCGAAAAAAACCAAAGCTTTTTGGAAAACCTGTTGTGTAGTTCAGGAATGTTGATGCTAACTGTAGTGATAGAGAATATAGGATAGAACATTTTGACACAGTTTGAGTGGATTTCGATTGATGCTAAGGGAAGCACGTTCGTTTTACTGAGCTCAGCCATTCCAAAAATTAGTTTTGAAAAAACTTTTATTCTTTTTCGCAAAAATCACACATTAAAGTTAAAACATTTCTTCGATGATAGATACGAGACGATATTCAGATTTAGAATATGTATTGGGCACATCTCCTAGGTAATTTAATTTTGTCAAAAATTGATTTTTTCATCGATACCATTGTTTTTAGGCTGACTTTGGAACTCCGGCTGTTTCACTCTACTTAAAACTCGTAACAATAAATTTCTAATGAAAAGAAAAATATTTTGTGCCTCTATTGCCACTTTTAAAAACTTTATACATTCACCTTTTCAGTCTTCAACAAAATTTTCTTACTTTTCTCCTCCTCACACTTTCTTTTTCTTTGCTACATTCCTTCATCGAACAGTTATTTTGATAATTGTACTTGATGAAAATTTTTGTACTCTTGATTTCATCCATAAAAATAAACTTGAAACATAATCATTAATTTCAAAAACAAATTTTTACTATATCCATTTTCTTTTTAAGTAAGTTACTGATTCAAAACTAAGCATTCCTCCGATTGACTGATTGCCACCAACAAAATTTGTAAAAGATCTCATCATCTTTGCAAGACATAGAAAGAAAACGAATATTTTTTTTGTTTTCTTCCATAAGATTGACATAGGATTTGTTTTCATTAAAACACAATCATGACATTTCTGTGTTGACAAATATACATCTTCGGATTATATATTTTTTTTCTCTTTGTTTGGCAACTTCTATGTCATGAATATGTCTAGAATTATTGAAGTTTCCTATGAAAAGAAACTTAATTTTATTTATTTATTTTTTGTTTCAGATATAGAACAATTGAATCTTATTTACAATGAACTATAGAAAATAATTAATATTATCTGAAAACAACAAGAATTAATGAAATAGTTTGCTATTATAATCATTGAAAAAGATAGTATCGAAGGTTTTTTTCTTATTCATAATATGAATATTCTCATTTGATTATGACTATAGAGGTCATCTGATGAAAAATTGATTTACAAAATAGATAGTCATCATTTTTCTTTTCATTTTATTAACAATCAACTTATTGATTCTATTTAATCTATTTGATCGTCCTTTATCAAAATTTCGTTTATTTTGTGCTTTAATTTTGCGCTATATATTTGTATCTAACATTTATAGTATTAAAAAAAATGATTAGCATACTATTGAATGGTCACTGATTATCATGTCGAATAATATTATATTTTTGGTTACAATATAAATAAATTAATTTAGGATTAATTAGTGTATGTAGTTGGCATTGATCTAGCTTTTGATAAAATTGATAAAAGATGAATGAATTAATGACTATTTTAAATAATTTAATCTCTTTTATTATATTGTTTCAGATATAATTCTTTTTTTTTGACGTCCATCTTTAATACAATTCTTTTATTGGAAATATTTCGAAAGGTATGATCTACGAAATGAAATAAAAATTTTCAATATGAAAATCTTTTATACATGTTGATTTTCTTCGTTACAATAAACAAGACACATTAAAAAACGACTTTTTTTTTCTATTTAATATACATTATCATCAAAAGGCCAATTGTTTTATTGTTAATAATGAGATCATTTTATTAGAAACTATTGGTTCACAAGTTTTATCGATTCAGCATAAAAACCTATACCATAAACTTATTTTTATTTGTAGCTCATTAGAATAATAAATTACACATCTTTCATATATATAGGATATTTTACCGGGGGAATATGATTCTACCTACACTTGCTATATAAGATAGCCTATCGAAAATGAAATTTAATGTTATGAAAGAACATGAGCTTAGGCGAAATTTTCCGTGTTGCATGTCAAATATTTTTCGTAATTTAGTTTTTGTAACATACCCAAAAGTGGGTTGTATGGGAGAAAGCATGTTCTTGGTAATGTCAAAAATAATAAATATCAGTTTATTATATGTATTTTTTTTGTATATAGATTTACTCCCTACGTCAAAAAGACAAGACCAAGGTAACACGAAAATAACACAAGAATATGAAAAGTAATTGAGTTACATATCTTCTCGTTCTATTACAATATGTTCTGACGTACCGAGAATGTTTATATTATAGAACTAAATTGTCTCTAGATTTTTCTTCCTATTTTTGATTCGTTTACAAATCATCTATAACCTATTATTACATTGGAAATATTTCGAAGTTTATCTCACATACGAACACTTCGTTATATTCTTGATCAATCAAATTTCAGAAGTTTTGAAAATTCAATAGAACACTATATAACAAGGATTGATAGTCTTCTACTGTTCTCTCTTTTTACTCTCGAAAAGAAACATTTTTATATTCCTTATACTGATATTTCTAATCTCGTCTCATCTACGAAATAGACTTAGAAAAGAAATTACAGTAGTACTAATTATAACAATGATGAGACCTTTTTAGTATAGAAAAAAAATTTTTTTTTGTAAAAAATTCTAAATTTCATGAAAAGATAAAATGAAATAAATCTGATATTATTCATAGAATGATATAATTTATTCTTATCAATGATATCTTTATCATATCACCAAAGTCGCCAGGTAAATATATCTATTCTTTCCCTTCCATGCAAGTTTATATTCATCATTAACAAATTAAGAGATAGTTACACTGGCTCTCAAAATTTTTCGACGAGGTTTATTTTCAATTTTTTTTCTGTTACTGTCAACGCTAATAAGAATTAAAAAGAGTCTCTGAAAAATCAAATTTTTCAGCTTCCAGAATTTGTAATTACAATTCTATTTGAGTTACTAGAATGTTAAAGCAAACAATTTTCTACAAAATGAAACGTCTTCCACCTTCCTATGATGTTTTCATACATAACAACAATAGAAAAAAAAAGAATTTCTTTGGCTTCCGTAAAGTTGATGTATTTAGATCAAAAAACTTCATAGAAAGGTGAAAGACATTTCATTTTGTAGAAAACTATTTGCTCTATTATTGTAGTTAACTCAAATAGAATTGTAATTGCAAATTCCAAGCGCCAAAAAACTTGATTTGTCAGAGACTTTTCTTCTATAGTAGCTAACAATCATTCTTACTTTTAAAGATTCTTGTTAGAAATAAAATGCTCTATTCAAATCACTATTTCGATTCTCCTTAGTATTGACAGCAACACAAAAAAAAATTGAAAATAAACCTCATCGAATAATTTCTAGAGTCATTCTATATGACATCCTTCGAATTTAACAATTATTCTTCTGGAAACTTCACAGGAATAAAAAACAAATGTCTTAAATGACGCGCGTGTATTGAATTGAATTTCTTGTATTTTTTTCTTGTAGTCTTACGAAAATAAAACAGATTACCGTTTTTCTTTTAAATTATTCCGTTCGATTTTATTTAATCATTGATATATTCATATGAACAAGTATTTATCTTAAAATGATGTGGAATTTTAAACATTAAGAATGCTTGAATTAACAACATTAATGATTTTTACTTGGCTAACACTGCGTGTTCGTTATGTAAGATTTAAAATTTTTTTTTTGAAGTTTTATTATTATTATTTTTTGTAATAAATCAATTTAAAACAAAAACAATCTTATTTTCTAGTTTCATAGTTATTTCCAAAATTTTGTTTTGTTTGATATTGATATTAATAATAACGTTATTGTTCGTTGGTTATGTTCATTTGTAATGACAAACGATCCAACAACAAATCAAAAATCTACTCAACAACAAACAACAACATTAACAATGGATGATATAGTTAATATCAAACAATCGAAAACGAGTTTATGTTTATCATCAAATTTTTTACTACCAAAAAATCTTATGCAATTTATTGAAGATATACCATTGGATTCATCAGATAAACCACATCCACGTTCAGGTCATCGAGCTATTGCTACTGAATCAGATTTATGGATATGGGGCGGTTATTATCCAGCAAATGATAATCAACCAGAACGCATGTTTCAAGAAGTAATATAAAGAAAAAAAATAAAAAAAGATAAAATTAAATGTTAATCTTTACATTTATTTTTATTTACAGCTTTGGCGTTATAACTTTGCTCTTCGTCGATGGACACTTGAAAAAACAACAGGTGATGGACCTACGCTTACTCTTGCATCTCATTCAAGTATATTAGAAAATATTCATTTGATTTATTTTTTGTTTTATATATTTTTGATATTTTAGTGTGTCTCTTTCGAAATTTACTTCTTGTTTTTGGTGGTACAGGATTTCCATTTGGTCAACATGTTTCAAATGATTTATTTGTACTTGATTTAAAACGACTTCATTGGAAACGATGTCGAATACTTGATCAACAACCAGAACCAGTTTATGGAGCAGTATGTATACATTTTTTGTTTTCGAAATTTTATTGTATTATTTAAAAATAAACAAAAAATTCTTTTTGTTTTAAAGAGTATGATTGTAAATGATGATCATCTATATATCTTATGTGGTACAAATAGTTGGTCTTATAATTCAGATGTATATGATATTCATTTACCTACATTAACATGTAAACATATAGGTCATACATTTGATGAAATTGAAGATCCAAGTGAAACAGGAAGGTAAATATTTTTGATGCAATTAAATAAATTTATAATTTTCAATACAATTTTGTTTTGTATTTCTAAGATATCGACAAGAAGCATATTTGTATAAGAATAAAATATTTTTATTCGGTGGTGGTGGAGTTTCGGGTATATCATTTTCATTTGAATATGTAAGTATAAGATAATATTCAATTATCTTTGCTGAATATACCTCTTTCAAATAGGAAAAAAAAACATATAGCAGTGGGGAAAAAGGTTAACAACAACTTATTCTTGATTTTTTCTCTATAATGTTAAGTACCTAGCTCAAATTTAGATAGTAATTTTAATAAGCAATGAAATTTTCTGTCTAATGTATTCTATATTAAGATTTTAAAGATGAACTAACATATCAAGATTTCTAAAAGATCGCACATGGCAGTTTTCAGGTTTCGAAAGATGTTGAAGTTGTTTTTGAAGAATACCTTTTTGAAGAGCACAGAATTGTCAACAAAATGAAGAGTTGCCGCATTTTCTATGATCTTCTCTTAGAAACTTAGAAGCATCACGGAAGCTGAAAAAGACGTTTTTTAGCGTTTTTTTTCAGAAATTTCGTTTTTTGTAATGCCTTTAAATTTTTAAGGAAAATTGTAGAAAATGCAGCGGATTCACTATGTTCAGAATTTTGTGCTCTTTACGATGGTACTCTTAAAAGATAGCTCCAACAAAGTCTTCTGAAACTTGAAAACTATCATGTCCGATTTTCTAGAAACCTTGTTATCATAGTTCATCTGTGAAAGGTTAGTATAGAATGCATTAGATAGAAAACTTTATTGGCTATTAAAATCTCTATCTAAATTTGAGTTAGGTAGTTAACATTATAGAAAAAAAAGTTAAAAGTACGCTGTTGTTGATTTTTTTTCACCACTGTGTTTCTGCACTTATCCGTATTCCTACGTTACTTTCTCCGATATCTCTATATTTGGGGTGTGGGGTAGGTGTGGGTGTGGGTGTAGGTGTAGGTGCGGGTATGGATCTTTTCTTCAACAGAATCCACACCCACATCCCACACCCATCCACACCCAAATCGTATACCAACATTGTAACAAACAGAAATAAGAGTATTTAGCAACTCTATCATGCACACTCAAATTTTTAAACTAATTACTGATCTTTAACGAACAAGAAATAATATCCATGCAAATTCGATTGTAAATAAGTTAAGCTGAGTTATTGACCAGCCCAAAAAATACAAATGTTCAATATGGGCAACTCTCTGTTGAGATCTGTCTGAGTCAAAGTCAGGACGAAGCAACAAACTTTATTGAATTTTTAATTCATCGTTTTACCTCTTCGAATAACTCTTTTAGCGTCTCATTGAGAAAGGTTATTCGATATGAGAGATATCCGTCGTAGTTGAAAAACCTGTGAAAAATAGTTCCCACTGTCTCAATAGTAACCATATATATAAACGTATAAACGTTTTATAATATTACATTTTCAGTTACCTGTATTTGATCTTACTACTCAAAGTTGGTCATTTGTTCATGCAAATCCAGATCCAATACATAGTAAGTTTTATATATTTTTAGTTTTTCGTTCTTTTTATTTTGATTTTTTTTATTAATTTCAAATAGATTTTCCTACGAGTCGAAAATTTCATTCAATATTTCCATTTCATAATAATCAAATAATAATGTTTGGTGGTGCTCATTTTCATCATTTACTAAATCGTCATATTTGTGTTAATAATCGTTTATGGACATTTGATTTCGAAAAATTAGAATGGTCTATATTACCTTCATTAACTATGCTACAATCAACATATTTTCATGCTGCCTCTATGAATGAAGTAAAAATTTTCATTTCATTGTTTATTTTTTATTGCCTGTTCTCTTATTTATTTAGCGTGGTGAAATTTGGACTCATGGTGGTGTTGTAAATGAATCACGATCAACTAATGATAATAGAAATCATAGTGAAAAGCGTATAACAACGTTGTATACAATGCATACTCGAGTACTTAATTTGAGTGAATTAACTTGGAATTATTTTTTAAATTCTCTATCGGATCGAACTTGTCTTATTAAGCAACCTGAACTTTTGGTTCAACTTCATATACCACCAAGATTTACTGAACGTATTCATTAAATAAATTTTCTTGAACGACATTTTTTTTTCTTTGTTTAAACAAATGAACCGCTGTGAAAAATAAAATATAAACGACGGTGATATGGAGATTTATTTTTTAAATAATTTAGTTAAGTTACTAAGAAATACATTAGGATATTATTTTAAATAAATCAGTTCAAATAATTCTACTTTAATTAATTTCATCTTCTTGTCAAATGTATATTTTGAGTGACTTCAAATTTATCTTATACACATGTAGAGAGTTCAATTGTTAAATTTCATTAATGCTCTATTACTTCATTTTATTTTAATATGTGATATGTCAAAAAGAAACGTATCTATAAAATTGATTATCCAACAACAAACTTATTCTTTTATGTTCATCATTGTAAATAAATTAATGTATCATGGAACTTCTAGTGAACATGCAGATAAACTCAATGTAACAAAATCAAAATACTACAAACAACTGAGGAATCAAAGGAATAGGAATACGGATGCTGATCATGAATGACTTCTGATGAAAGGTCTACTGCGACTTTTTATTTTTGCTTTCAATGAACAAATAATTAGTGATTGGAATTGGAGTAGTAGATTTAAAGAAAACATGGTCCGTAAGATAAAAAAAAAACACGTTTACTTTGATAATTAATAAGATCCTTTCTTTGAGTTTTGTCAAAGTTAAACAAAATGAAAAACAAGAATCTTAGAAAATTTCTGTAGGTTAATTCCTTTTTGTTAATTGTCAAGCAAGAAATAATGATAGACAAAGTTTGCGCTTTTTATTTCTATTGGAAGAAAGCTGAGTCATATTTTTACTGCAATAAGATATCCTGTTAATGATCTACTTATCCCATCATAAAAGACTGTCTGATGTGTATCAATTTAACAATTTGTGAGATCTGTGAGTCTTTGAATGTGATATACTGTGAACTTTCAATTTATCTAATAGCTACAATTCTAAAAATTGCAGAGAAGATTGCGTTAAGAACGGGGTATTCTGTAATACTCTTTTCAAAGTAAACGTTTTTAATCCTAAAGTGATATTCAAGTCAAATAATGGAAGATCACTTATCATATGCCACTCCAGTGTCACGAGAGAGAATGATTTATAACCCAAAGAAAAGTTCATTTGCAATAAAATTTTTGCTAGAAAGGAAAGAAGCATCCAATTTCTCAAGGGTGAGGTCGGTCGAACGGCATTCGATCTATTTTTCTAGCTGGGTATAACATCATATAAAAAGAAAACCTTGATATTAACCTTCCATCTCAGTCTACCTAAGGCGATGGAGTTCGAGTTAGTGCTTGCTTGCGATCAGTGTTCATTGAGTTCTATCTGTGACTAAAGTTTCAAGGCCAAAGACCCGACTCGGATAGTTCCTGCCTCGCTGCAAAACAATGAATTCAACTACAACAATATTTTTTTTGAAATTTATACATTTAAATGTCATCATTCACTTTACTCAAGTAATAGAAAAAGAAATACCTTAAACGAACGCAAACAATTATTAAATTCCAATAATAGGAATCAACAAATTATATGGATTTCTATTGAATTTTTCATAAATGGTTTTTATCATTCTCATGGATGTTTTTTTATCTAACCCTTTAAGTACCAGCGTCCTGAATTCAGGACACTTTTTTAAGCATCTTAATCTTTGAATAACTCGCGAGCGCGAAACGATATCGAGGTACGGTTTTCGCTATGATATAGAAGACACTTCGATACATATATCCAAGTAAGAATCATAACACTAATAAAGTCAATCAGGTAGTAAATCTGATGAGTTTGTGGTAGACCACCAATATATCATTTTAAAAATCACACTAAAAATCAACCAAACTTATAACTGAATAAAATTAGCCTCAACAAAATAATAGACAGTTGTAGCTACGTATAACCGACGTAGCTAGTGGCAAACTACCATAATCTGTACTGAATAGGTGTCAGTATATGTATTCTAACCCTTTAAGTATCAGCGTTCTGAATAATGGACACTTTTTTTTAGTATCTTAATTTTTCAATAACTTGCGAACACGAAATGATATCGAAGTGCGGTTTTCTCTATAACATAGAAGAGATTCCGGTACATACATCTATATAAGACTTATAACCGTAATGAGGTCACTCAGGTAGTAAACTTGATGGGTTTTTGGAACACCACCTTCATTCTAAACAGGAGGGTGGATAATACTCTTTTGTGGTCCCCAAAATATTTCGGTTTTCCGTGTTGAAATCAAGTTAGGAGTGACTCCTAGGGATACTACAAAGGATCGGTTAACCAGCGGTTTTTTACCGGTTTTGACCACATGGGATATATCAATGGTAACCAAAGCTTCCAAATAACTAGTGACATCTATATTAACTGTATAAATTTCTTTTTTATTAAGTGAAAAATTTTTTTTTAAATATAGAGTAAGGTTGTTTTAAAAAAATTTGGATTAATTTATTACTTAAGTATGTAAATTTAGAGACGAACAACGATTTTTTATTGGTTATCATATGCCATCTACAAAGTATTAATGGCCGCCATTGACTTAAAATTTTGCGGCTTTTGACCAGTATTAAATTTTCTTGTTCTCTATATTCTGTCTACTTAATTTTTTATCAATTTATTCTGAAAATGAGAATTTCTTTTTGTCACGAAAATTGCTTTATTTTTCTTAAGTGTTTGTTTTTTGAATTAATCTTCAGAGAATTCGTAGTGGAAGGTATTTTGTCTTTTGTTTTACTCTTGATTTTATTTCGATTTTTATATAGAAAAAATTAAGATCTATTTGATATATTTTCTCTTATGTTCATTCCCAAATGAAATGAATTATTTTCATTTGTTTTCATAAGTTTATGTAAATATTTCTAATGTGTGAAATCGTTCTCGTCCATTTAATTCGTGAGAAAAAGGCTAAACAAATTGATAAATAATGATGTTCATCATTATCTACTAGTCGAGACATGCTTATCATGCAGACATCTTTGTCTTCTATGATATCAACTTCTTTCATTATATTCTTTCTCATGCAAATTGATTGATTGACAATGAGATGAAAAAAAAAGAGCAAGAATCACTCGTGAATATATTGTGTTATTGGCTTCCACTTTTTCTCCTTCCTTTTAGTCTCGTAAATCAATGAGATCATTTTTCCTCCGTTTTTTTTCGTCTTTTCCTTTTCCTAACCAACGCCACATCATCATCATCATCATCATCGTCAGCCATTATCTGTTCTCTCTATATTCCGTTTATTGGGTGAGTGTATAAAATGCTTGCACGTTCGTTCTTTTCTTTAACTGTTAGTTCATATCGCTGCTGCTGGTTGACCTCGCCTTGACTGATATTGGATATGTATAGAATAATAGCAATTGTTCTAGTGGTTAGTTTATGCTCGTCTTCGTCTTCCCGATGTTTTTCTGTTCATCCTTCATATGATCTAATTCTCTTTTTCTTATTTTGTTTTTATTTTATAGTAACGAGTAGTGCCATAACCATCAGCGTATGCGAAAAAAAAAATCGATTTCCCTTGTGAGGATCTCTTTCTCTCTCTCTCTCTCTCGTTCTCTTGTCGGGTCGGCATCGTTAGAGAATGCCGTACCATCTATCACTTACGGCAATAGTTATTTGTGGTTTTTTTTCTCTTTCTTCTTCTGTTCTTTGTGTCATATAGTGTAACTGAACACTAAACATATTTATTATATATAGAAACATACTATATATATACAGATTAAAAGATGGTCATCTATGGTACAGATCTTTTGTCATCGATATTACCTTATGTTCATATACTTTCATCATCATCATCAACTATAACAACAACATATTGTTCACAATGTTTAAATTTATCTAATGATTTAAAACGTTGCTCAAAATGCCATCATATATCATATTGTTCAATATCATGTCAACGAAAAGATTGGATTTATCATAAATATGAATGTTTACATTTACATCAAATTTCCAGTGAATATGATTTAACAAGACTTTTTTTACGTTTAATGATACGTTATAAAAAAGATTATGGTATAGAAGAAAATTCTCATACAAAACGTTGTTTAAATGATCTTAAAACACATGATAATGATATTTATAATGATAAACAACGTTATAAAACATTTCAATTAATAAATCAATATTTAAAATTATGGAATTTATTCAATGATATAGATGAAAAAATTTTATTTGAATTATATTGTCGTTTAATTATAAATACATTAACAATACATGATACAATTGATTTAAAATCTATTGGTTATGGTTTATATTTAGATGCAACTATATATGATCATTCATGTAGACCAACATGTCATACAATATTTAATGGAATTTATTTAACTATTCGAATTATATCAAATGATTCAAATAATGAATGGACTATAAATTATATTGATTTATTAGATACATATGAAAATCGTCAAAATCTTTTATATAATAATTATTATTTTCATTGTCAATGTAAACGTTGTTTAGAAAATAATAATAGAAATGAATTAATTTTATTAGAAAAAATTCATTATGAAGAACAACAAATGGATAAATTTATAAATAAAAATGATTATTTAAATGCATATCAATCAAGTAAAAATTTATTAAATTATTATGATAATATTTTACCATATTATCATGCTTATGTATCATTACAACATATTAAACATTTAAAATTAGAATTATTATTAAGTGAAACTATATCTGATATAATTCTTCAATCAACTATGAGAAATACATATGAACGTGTACAAATATCTATGGGTGAGAATCATCCATTAACACAAGAAATAAGAAAATTATGTGAACAATATAAATTAGAAATGTCTATTAAACAAAGACAAATTAATTGATTATGAAATTTTATTCTTAAATAAAATGATAATGAAAATTTGATTGTCTATTATTAAGAAATGGTAATTACAATATGAAAGTTTATTTTGTTCGATTAATCAGATGAGATATGTAGAACTAATTTTGTTTCCAAAAAAATCTCTATAGAATATCTTTTCTATAATTTAATTATCTAAGCTAAATATATTTTGTACGATTAATTAAAAACAAAGTGTTTTTTCGTACTGTCAAAGAATGACAATTAGCTATTGATGAGATATAAAAAAAAATACAACATAACAAAGAGTGAATCTTTTAAGTAGGACTTTTTTTTATTTTTATCAATGTCGATTAAGCATATCCATTTAATTAGAAAATAGAACAATCAATCAATTAGATGAAAGTATAATAAAAACAAATATTTTCATCCTAAAAATTATTAGAAATCTAAACATTTATAGAAGTTGCTTTATTTTGTTTTTTTTAGTTGGTATAAATTATTCGAAACTCAATTCACTAAGAATACAATAGAGAACATATACATGCATTGCTTCCTAATTCAATCCTAAAGAAAAAGAAAGAACACATACATTCTTTGTTCATTATTATTTGTATTCATGCCCATATGTTAACCAATATTGTAAAAAGTCCATTTTTCATTTAGTATGCCCTTCGAGAATATCATTAACTTGATCTGAATTGATAAATTTATTGATTAATCAAAGAAAAAAAGAGAATTATAACATTATTTTCGAATTTATTTGAGCCATTAAAATAAAATTTGATAAAATTGTTTGTTAAGGTATATCATCTATTTAGTCTATATATAAATATTATTTTAACTCAGTCTTAGTTTTATCATTGAACGTTATTTAAGTTGTAAAGTATTTTTATGATTTGAATTAAGTGAATAGTTCTTAGGATGCATGTCAATCATAATACAGATTAATGGTTTTTTTATTAGACCAAGGAACTTATATAATATTGTAAGTTTAAAATTGATGTTCTGTGGCTCCTACCCCTTATATGAACGATGGTCAGAGACCAATGAGCATATTTTGCCTAGAAAAGAGAGGAAGCCAACTGTTGTTGGATGCATTTTCATAGAAGCCGAAGATTCTTTTCCTAGAGTTCGCTAGCACCAGGAAAAGCCACTGAGCGACATTAACAAGAAAACTTAGACGAAGCCTTTCTTGAAATTTGAATGACTGGAATACATTTGTGAATGTTCTAAATAGTGCAGTTGTTGATTTTTGCGTAAGGAAAAAAAAGTTTTTGTTATTAATGTATTTTATATTAGTATGAAGAAGGCATGTCCGTTTCACATTTTAGCTGCACTGACAAACCTTTCGGTAAAAAAAAAAAGAAAGACTATTAGATTTAAAGTTGATCTTCAATTAATTGATTTGGATTTAATATATTAGATTACAGTAATACAATAGTTGATATTAATGCTGTTAGAGTTTCATTATATTCATTTTGTTGATAAAAATCTGTGAGATAGAAAATATTTAATTCATGGTCAAAGCAACAGCTTTAACAGCTGTATCTACAATAGAAGAAGGTTTTTTTATGTTCTATTGCTTTGTCAAGCAGCAAATCATTTTGTTAGTATAGATTTAATAGATAATCAAGTAACAATTAATGATAATATATAACAATCAATCATTAAAGTAAAATAATTTTTAGTTTATCTTTTTTTGTTAATGAATTTATAGATTTAATTTTCGAGATTTCTTATTCATTTTAATTTTAATATATCAGCATGTAAATAAATAATTGTATTAGATCGATAGAGTTCTATGTGTAATGTTAATAAAACATTGCAATCTTTTTATACATTCTCAACTAATTCGACCTGCTGAATCTTTCTTTCAGAATTATAACTACTTAGGATATACCAAATGTTTTTACGGTGCTATATCAATTTGTTATAGAATGCTTGAAGAAATTTTCTTTTTTTATGTAGTGATAGAGAAAACGATGCTCTATTTTTCTATGCTATTTGATCAATCTTCTACAAATATCATAATAATAAAATTTTGATAAGAACTGTTTTTATGTAAACCTTAACTAGTGGATGAAGCAGATTAAATGTTTCAATCACTTAATACATTGTATTAAAAAACAAAATATACCACAAGATGCAGCATGAAAAGTTCTACAATTTACGTAAGACCACTTTTTTTAATAGTTGCATTTTTTGTTTTCAAAATAAACAAAATTTTGAGTGATCAATTTTCGATCGTACGAAAACGATATTTTTTGGTAGGAAATGAATTCATTTTTTCTTATTTCACTTTTTTGTCACCTGATATCTTCTATTTAAAAAAAAACAAAATACATCACAAGATGCAGCGTGGGAAGCTCTATAATCTACAAAGTAATGCTTATGTTAATTGTGTATTTCTCGTCAAAGAAACCAAAATTCTGTGCGACCAATTTTCATCGGCCTGAAAAAAAATCATGCGAAGAGAAATTCTGTTTTTCTTATTTCATATGTAAAAATAAACTGTTCTTTATAAGTTGTAAAGCTTTTCACGCTGTATCTTGTAGTATATTTTGTTTTTTAATACAACGTATTGAGTGACTGAAAATTGAAATGCAAAGCGTATTAATCTACCTTATCCGGTAGTTAAGTTTTACACAGAAACAGTTCTTATCGAAATTTTATTATTATGATATTTGTAGAAGATTGATCAAATAGCATAGAAAAATAGAGCATCGTTTTCTCTATCACTTCATAAAAAAAAAGAAAATTTCTTCAAGCATTCTATAAGAAATTGGTATAGTATTGTAAGGATTTTTGGTATGCCCTAAGTCTTTTATTAGAATGTTAGCCCATAGTAGGATATTTTAATCTAAAATTTTACTTATAATCAGATTTTATAATCTTCGAGATATCATAAAAAATTCAGTCAAAATAAAAGTTTCTTTCTTGAGATATTAGTTCTTTGACAGCAAAGCCGAAATATAGTAAAACAGATCTTTTACAATATGTCTTATATTGGTGACATAGATGTCACTGGTAACAGCATTGCGTCTTTAAATTAAATCTAAGTAAAAGAATTATGATCGCCAATAATTTTCAAAATAAATCACATTGAGCATAAAATATGATTTGATTTATTTGACATAAATATATCTGATGTCAAATAGTTAAATACTATAGAAAAGTTTATTTTTTCTGAAATATTATCTTTTTTAAATATCCAATATTTCCCGAAGAAAGCTTTGATTTCGACTGAAATTTTTCCTATACTCTGAAATTCATGATACGCACAATTTCAGGTGGTTTGTTTTTTACTAGATGATCTATTAATCAGTGAATATCCTAGTAAACCAATCAAAATCTCTAGAAGTAGAATATCTGACAGTCCAAATCTCATTGATTTCTTCTTATGAATAAAATCCTAATATGATTAACATTTGACAGTCGAAAGTGTTTTTCTTTCATTAGATTACATTTTATTATGTTATATATTCTTGTTTTTATTTTAGGTCTATCCTACGGATTATATTTTTTTGTTTATAAACATCAACCAAAATTCTATTTTATATTTTCTTCTTTATGAATTTCTTCGATAAAAACATTAAAATCTATTTTGTTTTTGGATTACATATAAAAGTATCTTGTCTTTTTATTCTAGATAATAAATTAGTTATTTGTTTTTTTCTTTTGTAATTAAATAAAATGCGAACAGCAACAAATGGTACTCATAGTGAATCACCTGTAAAAAATCCAACACATACACAAGCTGATAATGATGATGAATATCGTCGTGAACTTGAACGACCAGCTGATGTTAAAGAAGATATGAGACAAATGGGACAACGACAACGTGTTACAATGATATTAAATTCAAGAGAATTTCGTGATGAACTTGAAGCAATTATAACTGATGCATTAAAACATGGACCACATCCAGCATCATTAATTGCATTACAACAAATATCAGAATTATTATTACCACATACATCACGTTGGACAACAGTATCATCATTATCACGTACGGGTGGTTCAGTTATTGTACCAATTAATGATATACGTGGAATTGATTCAACAAATTATTCTAAAAGTGAACGTTTACTTCGATGTAAATTAGCATCACTTTATCGACTTATTGATTTATTTGGATGGTCACAAGGCATTTATAATCATATAACAGTAAGTCTTTAAGACAAAAAACAAATAGATTATCTACAAAATAGTCAGGTGTATATTCTGTTACTTGATCATCTTTATCATTTACAGTTAATTATTGAAAACTTAAAATAACGAAGAAATATAAAAATTGACTTTTGCTCGTTCTGAATTTCATAAAACGATTGATTCCACTCATGTCCTATTTTCAGATGTTGAATCTAACGTATTCTTTCAAACAAAAAAAAGATCGAACCAGTAGAATGATGTCTTACAGAGAATTTCGGGCTGGCAAATGACCTATTTGTGATCCTTATTTGTTGAATATCTCCTGAAAGCGTCATGATATAGAGTTGAAAATTTCATTCGATTTGAATGTACTTGATCCAAGATCAATTTTTGAGATAGGAAAGGTGGAGATGAGATGCCAGATAATTCTATCGTCAATAAAATAAAAACAAGTACATGAGAATGATTGGCATGAAACATAATTTTAAAAAAAGAGAGAGAGAGAGAACACAGCGGGAAAGACGCTAACTACACCCTGTGCCATCACAGTAGGATCTTAATAGTAGAAGTTTTTACAATTGAACCTTCACAAATAATAAATGAAATATTACACAATTTATCTGTGTAAATCTCTATTTGAATTCCATTGTTATTTGTTCCGCATTAATCTAAGAAAATAATTCTTAATCATTACTAGATCGTCTAGTAGTTGTACAAAAAACTATCATAGTTCACAATTGATATTTTCTATTTAAAATACGTTCATTCAGAGTACATGTTAGAAGTGACTTGAATGCAGTATCCTTTAACTTTTTCAAACTACTATATATAGAAAAGCCTAGGAATAAAAACCTGTTCGATCATGATCGAGCAATTTATTGTACTTGAGAATAAGTCACAGAAATGAAAAGCGATATTGTTTTACTAAGAAAATTTGTTTTTAATGAAAATTGAATCACTTTTTCATACTGATATATTTTACGATATCTATTTTTCCCTTGTTTCCACGATGTAGAGATTTTTTGCTAAACTAATTTTTAATTAATTATCTGATACAACATAAATAAAACGATTGAACAATAATTTCTTGTCTTCTTTTATTTTTTCAGGCTCGTATTAATCAAGAACAAGAACATTTTTTAATTAATCCATTTGGTATGATGTATCATGAAGTAACAGGTTCAGGTTTAGTTAAAGTTGATATTGCTGGTAGGATTAAAAATTATATTGAAATTTTATTATTAAGTTATTTTGCGCTTTGTTTTTTGTTTTCAGGAAATATTATTGATCCGGGTAGTACAACATATGGAATAAATCGTGCTGGTTATACACTTCATTCAGCTATTCATAAAGCTCGACCGGATATAAAATGTATTGTACATTTACATACACCAGCAGTTGCTGCTGTATCAGCTATGAAATGTGGTCTTTTACCATTATCACAAGATGCATTATTTTGTGGAAAAATTTCATATCATGATTATCGTGGAATATTAATTGAAGATGATGTTAAAAAACTTCTTGTCGAAGATTTAGGTCCAATAAATAAAGTAATGATATTACGTAATCATGGTTTTGTTGCATGTGGTGAAACAATTGAAGAAGCTTGGAAATATGCATTTAATGTTATTAATGCTTGTGAAGTACAAGTACGTGCAGCACCTATTGGCATTGATCAATTATATTTACCATCGAATGAACAACAAAAACGAGTAAACAAGTTTTATTTTTGTTTTCAAAACAAAAAAAAATTCTTCTTTTTCTTTTTAAGATTGCTGATGTACTTCAAGGTAATATAAATGAAGCAACTGAAGATAAAAAATGGAAAATAGGTGAACTTGAATTTGAATGTTTAATGCGTATTTTGGATAATGCTGGTTTTCGTACGGGTTATGTTTATCGTCAACCATTAATTCGTACAATTGATAAAAGTGCAACATTTAAAGATATTGAAGTACCACCAGCTGCTTCATCAGCAACATCATTTGTTGATGTTGGACAAACACAACCTGAAGCTTAGTAAGTTTATTAACAATTAATTGTAATTTGTTCTTTAAGTGAAGAAAGAAAAACAAAAATTGTTTATATATTAGTTCACCATCACGTCAAGCTCAACGTACAACTGAATGGCGTAATTCACCAAATGCTTATTTAAAACAAGAAATTGAAGAAACAGGAACACCTAATCCAAAGAAAGTTACTAAAGTAAATTATTTGTTCTTTATTTTTATATTATTAAATTGATTTTCAGAAGAAAATCGAAAAACATATATTTTGTAGATATTTGAGATCAATCATTAATCTCATGAGATAGATACAGGACAATTCTCGATTATGTTGTCTGTGTGTGTATGTGTTTTTTTTCTTTGTTTCTTGACATTTCTATGATATCCAGAATACAGGATAATAATAGAGTACTTGTCCAATAGAACAAAACAGTTAGATAATAAAAATTGACTTGTTAGAAATTGAAAATCGAGCTTTTTAAACAACAGATATATTTCATTTTAATAATCTTTTTATTTTTCAAAATAATTAATACTAAATATCATTAATATAATAGAAACATTTAAACAAAAAAAAAATGATTAACAATATGATTGAATATAAATTTTTAGTGGGTACCAGATACCGGTTTAAAACATTCAACACCAATTAAAATTGATACAAAACATCAATTTGCACCAAGTAATGTTGATCCAAAAGAACTTAAAATTCATCAAAAACAAATAAAAGAAGATCGTTTTAATGAAAAAGTATCCGCTGGCTATCAATCGAAAATTCTTGAAAATGTTGGTTGGGAAGATGTATCACAAATGAAAGTAAACAAACTTTGTTCTTTTGTGTGTGCGTTTTCTTATGATTGATAATGAATCTTTTTTTTTTTTGAAGGATCCTCATCAAACATCATCAGAACCAATTGTTGTTGTTGGTGCCGCATCAAAAGGTATTATTAAACGTGATCAACAAAATAATGCTGGAGTTTATAAATCATATTATGGTCAAAATCCATTTGCACATATGGATAATGATGAAATTGAAAAATATAAACGTGAAGTTGAACAAAATCAAATGCGTGAACAAGGTTTGTTTTAAACTAAAAAGAAAAACCAATACTATCTTTATAAAATTTCTTCTTAAATTCAGCATTGAAGAAAAATGCTCTACTTGATGACATTCGAAAGGGTATACTAAAAAAAGAATAAATATAAAAAAACAAAAAACAAACATATAATTGCCTATTATTTTCACATATATTATTCCTTAGGGAGAAAAAACTTACAGATCAAATCTATTAAACAAGGTGTGAAAATATTTATATGTATATTTTTTTTCCTCTGGTTTTAAGCCATTCAGCATGGTTTTATTGATTTTTCCTGCTTAAATAAGAAGAGCAAATTTTCTCTTTCGACAATATAACATATATTTGTCAAGCAATGTATATCAATAAAATTTCAGCTTAGTTTCTGTTTTCAAAGCATTATATAAAGATTTGTTCCCTTTGTAATCTAATCACATTTTTTTTAAAGCATGAATTGTTCTATGGCTTTATTATTTTATTTAAATTGAAATTAATATCATTTATATATATATATAGGAGGTGATTCTCAATATGATGAACAAGTTGATAGTCAAAATACAAGTACTATTGGACGAGGTAAGTAAATTGTATCCAGTCAATAGGCAATAATCTCTTTCTCGAATTGAAATCATTCATAATAATTATTAATCGTGCATATCAGCCAGACGTATATAGACTGGCAGTTTTGAAAGAAAAATATATATACATAGAATATAATGATGTAGTGTTGGTTTCTATCGGTGCGCTTATAATTTTATGTCTGTTGTTCTTCTTTTTCTAGTTCTTTTTTTCTTTGTTTCTCTCATTTTCTTCTTCTTCTTCTTTCAAAATTTGTGCGTTTGTGTTCGCTCGAGAAAAGTGTCATTTTGTTTGACCGCCATCTGCTACACCATGTACTATTCTTATTATTCATTATTATTCAACAATTTTGGTCAACTCATCCAATAGATCTATACAAATGAAGTTAATTTTCAACAACTAATAACAAAAAAAAA